GCCCGTGTCGCCCGTATCTAAAACCGCTACTGGGAGAAAGACTAGGATCTGAGGCAGCAGTCAATGAGACAAGGGCCCTAATGGATAGAATCTTGTAGTTAAAGTAAATAGCTACAAATAAATTTGTTGTTTGCAAAACTCGTGCATAGGTTTTTAAAATTTACAATTTATCTTTGCATTTTAAGTTATGAAAACAATTCCTTAATGTTTGTATTTGTTACAGTAAAAAATAACTTTTCTCCTCAGATTTTATGTTTTTCGTCTGATTTTAGATATGTGTGTTAATTGTGTTAATACAGTATGTTGGAATGGAAAAACAAACAATAAATCAAAACATGTGAGGTTGTGCTGAAAAGAATGACACCAAACAAGGCAAGGTAAATAGGTTTTAAGGTAACGCAATAGTTACTTTTCCTAGTAATTGGTTACTTTTATAATATTGTAACTCAGTTACTAACTTTTTAGAGAAGTAGCTAGTAACTATAACCAATTACTTTTTTAAAGTAACTTGCCTAACACTGACAATGACAATCACAATTACTTTCAGATTGAAGCTCTATGCTCTTGATAAGTACCCAATGTTGCTTCTCTGTGAACTACAGTATGTGTGTTTTGATAACTGATAATGAGCATTTCCCAGGGAAATAATTATTAATGTTCCCTATTAGTTTTTCTTAATAAATGCGTACTTGACCCAACCTGCTTTTGCCTCTGATATCCCTGCCAGCTGGATCAAACTGTCATTTCTTTGTGCATACTCAAAAACTGGCTTTTGAGTATGCACAAAGAAATGAACACATAAAGGCTACTAGTGCCTTTAAATGATCTGACAGCTCTTTCTCCATATGTTGGTCAAATACTTGATTGGCAAGTCCAATTATTTTATATCCTTTTAAAGGCTTATTTGTTTTCCATCTATCTTTTTTTTTTTTTTTTTTGCAATTTATCATTTTAATGTCATCCTGAACATGTTCATCTTCCTTGCCACCTGACAAATGGACTTACCCTTCTCCACTTTATTCACTGCTCTGTCCATGTCCTCTAAAAGAGTGGAAGCCTTGCCTGTCCTCCCTATTATAACTCCAGTCTATTTCTACTTTTACATCTGAAATTAAGAATGTTATAGTGATAAACTGTCAAAATACAATCTACAGTTACATTTAAATAATATGTTTTAAATATTCATAAGTTGGGTTGAATTGTGGCACTGGCACAACAGGCTCCTTGGCATAAATCATCCCAACCCTACCATTTTGAAAAAAAAATGCATCATCCAGCAGTTTTGAGCTAACATCATGCTAGGTGTATAGACTAATAGTGTAGCTTACCAAAGCACTAAAACATATGTCAAATGTTCAGACAAAACAATCAAAAAACCTTGATCATAGAAATTTTACTATGAAAAGCAAAAAACAGTTTTTGAACTTAAATGTCCTTAATTCTCATGAAATGAGGCTCTCTTCTTTGCAGGATAAGTAAAATGGTTGACTCTTCAAAAATGTGCATTCACATGACCAATTTCCTCTATGGTTCCTTAGAAACAAGGTGTGACACAACTTACCCGCTGGCACAAATCACCTACTTTCCCCTACAACAGCGTTGATTTTAAGTGTTATATATTATGTTTATTGTAAATTTTTAATCACCATTTGATAACGACTTAGCTGTTATAGGGATCCTTTTCTGGAGAAGAAGAGTCATATCCTCCTGAGGCCCAGCCTATTGATTTATGTGCTCTGTAATGTAATGAATTTGTTTTTGGTCTGTATCTTTTGACTTATCATAGCCACCCTACTAATTCTTCATGTGCTAAATCGAGGACATGTTGGCCTTTCCAATATTCTCATGTGGCCCTTTGGTGGCCCCAAAGAGTCAGAAAATCACAAAAAAGTGATTTCTTCAGAACATCGAAGATATCTACCTATTCGGAACCATGATAACAGGGTTCTTGCTGATCGGAGCTGGCTCAGCCCTGGCTTATCGAAGATTAAAACCCCACAAAGCTGGCCGCTATGATTGAAGCTATGGGAAGGGCCGTGAGTGCTCAGACTGTGCTCATTGAACACGATATGGATAGGATCTTGGAGAAGCTCGCGGCTCTTCAACTGGAAATTGATAGATCTGATGACCAGTGATGGACATTAGACCAACTGTAAAATTGGATGCAGTTTGTTTCCACAAACCCAAACAACCACCACCTTCATTCATGCAACTACCCCCCGGCGCCAGCTGGAAAGGCCCCAAGGCTGAGGCTGGCTAGAACAACAAAACTCTCCCTGATAACGGGACTGTGTTTTGACCCTCTGCCCATATCCTTCAAGGCCACCTGCGTCGGCTGGAGGACAGTTGACTTTCGCTAACTGGGTGAAAGGACAATCTCTCTCAAGCTGGACATGGGATACACGCATGTACACTGACATAGACAGAGACTCACCCCCCAACCCCCTTCCAAACGCATTCTATGCTTAACTTCACCCAATGATGCAGACAGCGGCTCTGTGTCCAGCGCTGGACTCCTTCCATACCCCCCCCGGTAGTGTAGCTGCTGATGTGAGGGTTAAAACCTCTCCCTCAGGAACTACCTCGTCATCGTTGTGCTCTGTTTGTTTGTAACCAGGACCGTGAGGAGAGGAATTCCAAGGGCTAATCACCACCTGGGACGAGGGTCACTGGAGGACACGGTGGTTTATTCTCTACTCGGGCACGGACGAAAAGAAGAGGAGAAACCCACCCACTAACCTTTCATTGTACATGGATCAGCTATTCGTTGTTTTCACCACTTTGGAAATAAAGCACACTGTTTACCTGCAAGGAGCTCCGCTGTCGAGTCCACTCTTTCTCCGCCACCTTGACAGTTTCATTCAAATCTCTTAGTGCTATGAAATATCTGACAGAAGTTAATGCTGTTGTCATTCAGGAGTTTACAGTTTCTAAGTGATTTAAGACCATGAAGATGAGAAAAAAATAGTTCATGTTAATTATTGACAAACATTTTTATTTGAGCATCAAATCAGGTCAATATACAAAACAACTCCCAAATTTAAAACGGAAAAAGATTTTACTGACCAATGATTAAAACATCTGACTTACCACTCAATTTTCAATGGTTTTGAGAGAGTCAAAATTTAGCATTATGAGGACAAGCAAAAGGCATCTGGGAGTGATGAACTTAAGATGAGAAGACATGACTGTATGACATCTGCATGTCATTGGGTTAGAATGAACAATCTGGATAAAATCGGAGAAAAAAAGAAAACAAAAAAATGTGTACAAATGACAGAGACTTGAGCTGAAAAACTTCCATTTGATATAACAAAAAGTTCCTGTTTGACAAGTAAGAATGTAGTAAATATAGAGTTGATCCCTTAATAAAAATGATGATGCAGGGTTTACTGTAGACTATAGACCTTCAGGAGTGCTGTATGTCTGAACTCTTAAACCCAGCATGAAAATGATTAAAATAATGTTGATAAAATAAATCTATTACTACATAAAGAATAAACAAAACTGTTTAGTAATTCCCAAGTAAGAGCAGATTTAGGTTTGCGTTTATCAGTAAAAACTGAATGATCACAAGCTTGTCAGAAAGAAATACAAAACTTAAGCTGGTAATAAATAATTAAATGACCAACAATCTTCTTTGCTCTTAACTTGTCTAACTGTAGGTGTGTATCCTTGTTAATAGGGTGCTGGTTGTCACTGTGGTCTCCCCTGACCCAATTTCTCTAAGTGTTCAGAGGTCTTTCCAAGGGGTTGCTGCTCCTGATGGTTCTCGAGGCCAAGGCTGCGTTGGTAAGAGACAGCAGTCATTTAAAAAGTCCATAGGACAGATGGTATCTGATTAAACAAGTGTTATCAGATTATAATAATAAAATGCAAAGATTGGTGACAGGACTTGGAACCATAAGGCAGATGAAAAAAAACAACTCCCCCCCCCCAAAAAACCACGCTCTGCCTATGAACACTCTTTACCTCTCTTCCTCCTTCCATCTCCTCATCTCATCTATCACTCACCACTTGCTGTCCACCTGAGAACAAGGCACTATGTGGTATTGCATTAATCTACTATTTAATTATCCACACTTAACAACTGTTGCACCTAATTAAAAAAAAACTATACACATAAAACACACACACACACACACACACACACACACACACAGTGACATTTTATACCTTCTCCAGAATACTGTATAAACTATTTCCACAAGTTTGCATCATGATGCTGATCTACAATATATCCCTTATTATTTATTCTTAGTTATATAATAATAAAATAATAAGAATAAAAAATAAAGTAATAAATATCAAATTATGTATTTATGATGATTCAGTTTGTTTGACTATCAACTCTTTGCAAGGTTGAAAAACTTATTAAATGTGTAAACTGTAGAGATACATTAATTTTGCTGCTGTAAATGCAGCATTTTATCACATTTGAAATATAAATCTAATATAATGTCTGTGAAGGTTCTCAGTCATCCAGGTCATTGTAGTCTAAGGAGCTTGGAAAGAAAAGCGTCTGGACTTCTTTAAGTTGCTTGAAGACATTTCACCTCTCATCCGAGAAGCTTCTTCAGCTAGAACCTTAGACAATCTAAAATAATCTTTTTCTCAAGATATTTTCTTTACAATACAGTGTTTTTTTTTATATGATAATTATTCCAATCCACAATTATGTGGCTATGCATGTTAGATATAATTTTATTTAGCAAATTATGATTAATAGTTAAATATTATTGTTGAAGGGCACAGGCAGGACTCTACACGTAGAGAGTCCTGCCTGCTTGAGCACCAGCCCCCACCTCCTCCGGTGCTTGGTCCCACTGATAATGGACTGGCTTCAGTATGCAAAAACAAAACCCTTTATAAAACTCAAGGTTTAAAAAAAAGAGTTTTCTTACAAGTTGCAAACTTTTTGCAGAGTGTTGTAAATGCTACACAAGTTCAGTTTTACAGTCTGTATCAGAGCATCAGCTAAGCTCATTTGAATCTCTCACCTTTCTTCCTTTTGTAAACAGCAAATCCAACAGCAGCAAAAAGGATTAGAACACCAACAACAATGATGCAGATGGCTGTTTTAGAGGACTTCTCTGCTCATAAAAAAGAAAAAAAAAGAAAAGATAAAACACCAGATGAGGGAAGTTAGATAATAGATACATTCACAACATCCTATAGGTAATCAATCAAGTTAATCTAAACTGAAGGTAAGTGATTGCACTATATTCCCTAAGGGAGGCTCTGCCTATGTGACTATACATGCAAGACTACAATGCTTAGATAAAACAATATAACTCTGCTTTCAGTTAAGCAGAGCAGATTGACAATAATAACCATTACTGATTATTGCCTTCTCCAAGTCCACAAAACACATGTAGAGTGGTTGAACGAACTGCCATGTCCCCCTGAGTATCCTTGAGAGGGTAAGGAGCTGGCCCAGTGTTCTGCGACCACGATTAAAACTACATTGTTCTTCCTGTATCCAAGATTTGAGTAACGTACGGACTCTCCTCTCCAACACCCTAGCATTGACTTTCCCGGGGAGGCTGGAGAGTGTGATTCCCCTATAGTTGAAGTACACCGTCTGGTCCCCCTTATTGAAGATGGGAACCACCAACCCTGTCTGCCAATCCAGAGGTACCGCCCCTGATCTCCATGCAACATTGTAAGGCTATGTCAACCAAGACAGCCCTACTACATCAAGAGTTTTCATGATCTCAGGGTGACCCTCATCCACCCCAAGGGCCCTGCCACTAAGGAGTTGTTTAATTGCCTCATTGACGTGACCCCTGGAGATAGACGAGTTGTCCCCCTTGACCCCAGGCTCTGCTTCCTCTATGGAAGACGTGCCAATGGGATTAAGGGGGTCCTCGAAGTATACTTTCCACTGCCCGACAATGTCCTCAGTCAAAGTCAGCAGTGCTCTGTCCTCATTCTGCCCTGCTTTCCCCTTCTGAGTCACCTGATGGTCGAAGTCGCAGGGAACAAACCCTCTTGTCCACTGGGGAAATCCCCAACGTGCAGGCAGCAAGCCAAGGAGATACTAGGAAACCAACCTAGGCCGGGGTCCCCGACTATATCTCGCCATTACCTCTCAACCTCACGCACTAATTCAAATGTCTTCCCCCACTAGAGAGGTGACATTCCATGTCGCAATTGCTAGTCTCGGTAGCTGGCAATTGGTCCACGAGGGTTTCTGCTCCTGGCCAGCGACTAGCACACATTGCACCTGACCTCTATGGCGCCTCCTGCGGGTGGTGGGCTGACAGGACGGTGGGGCCATGTCCCTTTTTTGGACTGTGCCTGGCCGGCTCTATAGACTAAGGCCCCAGGATCCCTGCGACACACAAACCCCTCTACTACAATAAGGTAGCATTTCACGGAGAGACAAAAATAAATAATTACAAGTTTAGAGAAAAATTGAAATTTTTGTAAAACAAAAGTTCTAATATAACTGTCAGAGTTGGTCTAAACAGCAGTAAGACCACGACCCTGACAAGAATAAGAAGAGAATGGATGGGATGGCTTCTCCTTGAATCGCTACCTTATCGTGGTGGAGGGGTTTGTGTGTCCCAGGGATCCCAGGGGCTATGTTGTCTGGGGGCTTTTGCCCCCTGGTAGGGTCTCCCATGGCAAATTGGTCCTGGGTGAGGGACCAGACAAAGAGCGATTCAGAAGACCCTTATGAAAAGAATATCGAGGTGAGCAGCGAAAAGTCCGCGGTGATCTGAAAATGATGTGCCGGGAGTTGTGCCGTTCTCGGCGGCTTCAGTGACCCTCGAGCTCCCGGCTAGCTATCGAGCTGGTGGATAACAGACGTCTCCGAAAACGTCGAGAGCACTTTTGCAAATATGTGATATCTTGATAAACCGAGCAGATATTTGAAGTTTACACAGCTACATTCTCGCCTGAAAATATGTTAAAAGTTTATTTTGTGACCCAGAAAGATTAGTAGTAATTTAAAAACTTAGTAGCGGCCGCCATTGTTGGAAACTGGAGTTTGGCTGGGCCGCGCTATGAATTCTGGGATATGGTGGGCCACGAAGGACACACCCGACCCATCCTTCAAATTTGGGGAAAAGGAGGACGCATTTGTCGGCTGCATTCGGAGGAGTCTACGAATTTGGACAGCCTTCGGCGCGTCGCTGTGACGTAATCGGTCTACAAATGCGGCCTCAGGAGGATGCAGCCCATGAATTTGGACACCCTGTCATGGTCTGTGTGGCAGACCGTGGGGATGTGAGGAATGAGGACTTTATGATGAAGGCAGTGCGTTTATTTACAGTGGTGTAATGATCCAAAAAAAAACAACAGTACAACCAACCCAGGGTGGGCGGCGGGCGGTTCATGATGGAGGGCCAGGCCCAATTCCTAAATAAACAAAAACAAAACCCTCTCTAGGGCCACAGTCCACAGCAGTGGTGGGAAAACTGTCCCCACAAAACAGTTCAGGCGGACGAAAACCATAACAATAGAGTTCAGGTAGCCTACCTCGGGTCCAGTGGCAGCAACGATGTTGCGGCTTTGGTGGCCTACCACGGGCCCAATGCCGGCAACGTCGTTGCAGCTCTGGCGGCCTCCCACGGGTCCAGTGGCGGCGGTGCTGCACCTCCGGCGAGCTGCCACACGTCCAGTGGTGGCAGCGCTGCAGCTCCGGTGAGCCACAGTATAGAATGGCCCATGATCCCCGAAGTGCTGGCCAAGCTGGACGTGGCCGCACTGGACGTGGATGATGTGGAGGGCACGCTGCGTTCCTCCGGCACGCTGACCTCCTGGTCCGGCTGAGCGGGCCCCTCCGGGACGCTGACCTCCTCCGGCACGCTGACCTCCTGCTCCGGCTGAGCGGGCCCCTCCAGCACATTGACCCCCAGCTCTGGCTGAGCAGGCCCCTCCGGCACGCTGACCTCCTGCTCCGGCTGAGTGGGCCCCTCCAGGGCTCTAGAGTGCGACCAATTTGGTCGCAAATGCGACCAAATTTTTCAGTGGTGCGACTAAAAAAAATATTTGGTTGCACCTGTGCGACCAACTGTTCGGGTAGCAAAAAAAAAAAAAATCTGCAACCTTCCCTGTGGTCAACAACAGACACACATTTTGCCCCTATCGTGGACTAAACCAATCAGAGATAGTAAGGGGCGGGACCTCTCTGATTGGCCGTGGTCCAGTTGAAAGTGCAGGTGGAAGTGGGAGGTGAGTAGCTTGAATAAAGCGATATCAATTCATTAAATCCTGAATCGACTTTTAAATATAACTGTGTTTTGCCAGAAACGCCAGATTCTCAGATTAAAGCTCACAAAACCATTTCAACAACAACCAAACAGCAAATGAGAGCAGGTACACGGATTCCACACAAAGACGTAAACACAGACGGACCGACTCGTTTTGTCTCTCAACCAAAATTCACCGAGCCAGCAGCAAAAGAAGCAGCAAACTGCGCTTCACATTTGATCAATGTCGTCATGAATTTTGCTGTTTTGCTTCCACGACTATTAAAATCACACTTCATGCACAGCTAGCTCTCTCTCTCTCTCTCTGTACTTCAAGAACAGTTTCCCGTCTCCAATCTCTGTTTTCTGTATTATTCATTCGCTTATTACCCACCAGTCTACCGTTGTTTACAGCGCTGTGGCTGCTGTCTTTTTCTTTTCTTTTTCTTTTTTTCACTTAAATGACCTCGGACAAGAAAGCCTATTTTTTCTGTTGTTCAATACTGAAGAAATTTAAACTTTATATGCAGAACATTGTAGAATATTTTTAAGGTTATCTGCTATAAAAAGCCAGACCAGGAAAATCTCCTTCATGTTTTTCTGTGTTTTATTCTCAGTTACTTTCACACAAAGGCATCTGCTGTGATGTTCACAATTCTGATGAAGTCAGTACTG